ATATCAGCAACAATAGCGAAAACAAGATGCAACAACGACGTCCCCACGAACACCGCCACCAACAATCTAGTTGAAAATATTTATTAAGTCATGCGTACATGGATGTTAATTACCTGAGCAATTTTTACCATCTCCCATATAACCGATGTGACAAGCACAGTTGTAGGAACCATTGGTGTTGATACACTTCGCGTTCGAATCACAATCGTTTTCTTGAGAACATTCATCATTGTCTGAAATGGAAAAAATTGCCAAAGTTTACGGAAACTTAAGACATTAGTAGTGTAAAATGCTGATTCGAGGACAGCACTGCCCATCGTCCGAAGATTCGTCCGATCCTGCCGACACCCGAATTTTCAAATGCCTCCCTCCATCCGATTCCGGATTCCCCCCCCCCCACCCGGATCGATCAGGCGATTTTGGTTTTTGGTACGTCGTTTGCAGCCGATCACCGACAACTACACTACTCCTTGTTTATGACGCCTCTTATAAAATTGCATTGTCTGGAGCATGTCTTTTCAACTTTTCAAAAACGACATATATGTCCAATATCGACCATTCGACTCAAATGGACAGAATACATTTCAAATGGTTCAAACCGTTCAAATGGACAACATTTGTTCCATTTGAAATGAAACAATTCAAATGGTTCCAACAGTTCAAATGGAAACCATTTTCTTCCATTTGACACAGGTTTGTCAATTGGTCAAATGGAGTCATGCTGTGCTTTGCCAGCGTAAGGCTTGTCCAATGGATCAAATGGATCAAACTGACACTATTTGCTCCCATTGGCGTTCTTAAAAAACATAGTAATGGCTCGTTCTTTAAAAACCATTGCGCTAAAAATAACAAGAACCATTGACTGCCTGGCTATAATCATTCATAGCCTGCCTATAGGCTATAATAATTTATAGTGATGACTCGTTCTTTAAAAACATTGTGCTAAGAATAACAAGAACTATTGTATATATAATCACAGTTCATAGCACTGCCTTTCTATAATTTTCATTTATAGTGATGACTCGTTCTTTAAAAAGATTGTTAGTGATGACTCCTTCTTTAAAAACATTGTGCTAAGAATAACAAGAACCATTGTGTAATCATACATAGCACTGCCTGCCTATAATCATTTATAGTGATGGCTCGTTCTTTAAAAACCTTGTGCTAAGAATAACAAGAATTATCAATTGTATATATAATCACAGTTCATAGCACTGCCTGGCTACAATCATTCATATAGTGATGCCTCGTTCTTTAAAAACATGCATTGCGCTCAAAATAACAAGAACCATTGTATAATCATACATAGCACAGCCTCTGTTTAAGCGTTCGCAGTAATCATCGTTCTTTAAAATCATTGCGCTAAAAATAACAACAACCATTCTATAGGCATATCATTCATATCACTGCCTCTATATACTGTATGTAATTATTCATAGTACTGGCTCCTTCTTTAATAACATTGCCCTAAAAATAAGAAGAACCATTGACATTGTATAATTATTCATAGCACTGCCTCTATGTAGAATAATGCGGGATGATTTTCATTCATTGAAATAATAAGTCGCTAGCGTTAAAAAAATGTTGGCGACACTATTTCTTACTTCAAAAAATCAATATAAACAGCAAACACGGCTTAACATGCAAGCACTATCATAATTTTGGATTGTGTTAGCATTATAATTTTACTCAACCTCGTTCCCAGGTTATTTGCTCTTGGGAAGCAAAGACCCTGGTCGGAGCTGGTCACGTGAACCCCCAGATTTTGGGGGTAAATTGAATTTGATCTCAGGGAGGGGTAGGAGAGTAGTCTGTTTGTTGCGTTTGGAAAATTGCAACTTTATGTGTTATAATTTCGGGTGATAAAAATGTAATTTGCAACAAGAGATTGTGAAAGAAACTGTTCTAAATTCGTACCGATCATGACAAGACTTCCTGCTATACTGAATGTCATCAATAATAAGTGTTGCGTTATATTTCAAGCAAGAAGCTGGATCATATTTCACTTGCAAGGAAAACACTCCACACGCGCCTGGCCTGCGAAGTTTAGCACGTATCGCCGTAGAAACATACATATCTTCTACACAGACTGATCGATCAAACGGTATTAAACGAACGATATGGTTCTTTATAGTTGAAGTGTATCCTGTCCGATATTCAAAACAAAAGATTTATTTTATAACGGGATCCTTTGTCTTTGATTTCCCGAACATCGCCAACATGTGTAAACAATAGTGCTATTCTGACTGTATGGACTGGCTATAAAATTCATTTCATTTACATTGCTGAAACTCAACGATCAAGAAAGATAATGTTGAAGTGTAGCTAGCTATCTGTTATCACACAAACGCCAAGACTCCTCCGTGCGTTTCCGTGCGTGCGGAGCAATTTGAATATCTAGGACGATAATAATATGCACCAGACACTGGTATTGTACTTTATATAAATTATTTCATATTTTGTATATACAGTAATTTTGCAACATGTATAATATTAGACCTTTCATTGACATTGGCATTGTCCATTGAGGGCTTTATTGAAGAATAATCCAGCTGCTTTAGACTTGTATAATGGATTAATGCCGCTGTGAGTTATCAATATTTAAATCAACTTTAATCTTTATCGTATACTGGAATCGACATTTTAGAAGTTTAGTCTGTTTTACCAAACAATACTGGAGGCAAACAACCTATCTATCAATGGAAACTTTAAAAGGTTTGTTACAGTAAAACTCATTAATATAAGCGAGACTTCGTGTGCATATACAGTTTATGAATTATGTATATCCCTGATAAAACGTAGGACACTTTATACCAGATATAATAAAAAAATACTTTGCTAAACCTTTTCGGCTGTCATTCCTTTGCATTTAAGGGGAGAGGGTAAATGGCGATAGAATTTATAGGAGATGCTGTGCAATATTTTGGCTTCAACAGACAGGTACTCGTGCAGACAAAAAAGGAAATTCATGCAGTTTTGAATTGTATGTCAGCTGTGCACTGTCGATTTCGAACAATTTTGTACGTTATATTTTGTCTTCCTGGTGTTTAATATAAACGATGATAACCTTTTAAAAAAAATCTAGAGCAATATGTCTATAAACAGTTTTAGAATCAATTGCAATAGAATGGACATTCAATGTGTATTTGGCTTGTGTCCAAATGTGTCACGTTTAAGACCGGCAAGGCGCTAATCCTACGACCTATAAACAGTCGCTTTTGAGACATCTGTTTAACAAAATTTATACCATGTCCATATCAGAACAATTCATTGGCATATTATAAGCATATTATAAATATCAGAGCCAGAACATAAACGTATGCGTGAAATAAAACTACGCCCGAACCGGCGAACCCCGAGAAAATAAAAATATTTCAAAGCGTACAGTCATACGTTCTCGTTGCTTGATTTCCTGAATTTTCTGTTGCTATAAGAATCTGCATTTTAGCATGTTTGTATAATTTAAAAGCAAACAGAAACCAATTTAGCACGTAGTTTGAGGTATATATGATTCTTGAAGATGAATTAATGATTGTACAGAACGAGCACTTCTTGCAATCGAAGTGCGGAAGTGGAAACATGTAATATGAGACTTTTCCATCCCCCTCTTGGGCTATCAATTTTCAATGGGTCACGTGACCAGCTCCGACCAGGGTCTTTGCTTCCCAAGAGCAAAGAGCCTGGGAACGAGGTTGTGCTGCGCCATGACTACCTCCAGTACAATTATAGCATAATCTATTCTTCTTTAGAAACTCTCGTCTCTCATAAACTTCTTTCACTTTACAACACTCGCTGCTTCGTTGCTCACATGAGTCACAATATACACACTTGTTTGGCTTTTTCTCAATCGACCGGTAGGTAATGCCTTTCTCTTCGATTAAATTGCTCGCTTCGCCTAGAACCCCCAAATGTCTGATTAGGGGTGTCATCTTTCTCTGCCTCTGGGTTTCTTAGGGCTTCTAGTAATTTCTCAAAACTCCAACTCCTTGATTGGCCCTAACCTTTCTACTTCTAGTGTTTCTAGGACTTAACTCTGCAGTATGTAGTTTCTCTAAAGTTTTCAACGAGTTAACACTGACATGTAAGGAACGATAAAACCCGTGGATTTGTTTCAAATTAACTGTAGTGATAGTGGGTAATTTCAAAATTTCTCTGCCAATGGGCTTGTATTATTTCAAGAGTTTCCATATTTTTTCTTCAAAATTTCTATGGCCCTGTTATAGCCCTCTTCACTAAATGGCAGTCTGGTAATTTCTTTCTTTGGTTGATCATCATCAAGCAATTCCCTCAAATAATAAAACTTTGTAATTGCCGACATATTTCATATTTGTCTTATTTACTTCCGCCTCAAATTGTTCCCAAAAGCGAAACCATTCTAAACACGTACCTTTGAATGATGTGATCGTTAACTTGGGTAATTTAGCAGTTTGTTGCTCCTTTTTAAACCTTTCTAAACGTTGTAATTCTAGTCCTCGTCCAATTTTCTTTGATAAGCCTTTCGCTTGTTCTTTTCATCCAAAATTCGAAGTCGCTTCTCCGCCTCTCGCTCGTCAATTTCCTGTTGTTTTCCCGCCGCCTTTTCTTGCTCAGTCAAGGTTAAAATGTTATGAAGTTTATCCAGCATATGCTCAAAATGTCCCAACACACTTGTTCTTTACTCCACTCGTTGATCACTTCTTCCTCGATGTTTTCGGCGATTTTTAGCTCCACTATACTCGTTAATGCGTGTGTATCGTTTAATTTCGTTTCCAAATTAATACTCTGATGTCGCTGCCATTTACGCTCGTTTTTCCACTCGATTATATATTGCGTTTGTTCTCCCAGGCGTTTCAACATTTTCGAATTGTTTCTAAGTCGTATTTCCGCTGTTTCCATAGCCGATTTAACCGTAGAATTTCCCATTTGAGGCGTCGATCCAGTACTTTCCTATTTGGCTTCTGATTGTTGACTTCGCGTTGTTGGCATAATATATTTTCCGCTAAAGTTTAGTAAATCTCGATCACTCACGAGTTTCCATGTTAAGTAAAGTTTAAATGCCTTCTGCAGGGGTCTCCACCTTTGTGTGGGGAATGTAGTATGAAAGACTTGAAAGACTACACAAATAAACCAATTTTAAAACTATATTTTTACACGCTTCGCCTTTCTGTGTCTTCTGTTTACTGCCTAAAACCAAAGTGCTGACCTCAACAGTTTTTTAATTACACATTAACCAAAATTTTGATCTCAACAAGTCTAGACAAGAATTTCATCACAGCTTGAAAGAGCATCACAAAATTAGCAATATTCCAAAGTTTCGTTGCGAAATGTTGTAAAATGTGGATTATATAGCCTTGCGAAGTTTGCAATTTTCAGTCATTTTGTATTACACGCGGGAAATTTTCCAAAGTGGTAACCATTTCCCGTTTGTAATTAGACTTGCCCCAAGTCTCTCTCGAATGGGTTTTGATAGGGTATATTACTAGCCGTCGTCGTCACGTTGTCGTCCTAGATCTATTATCGACAAAGTCGCCAATCAACCAACTATATGGATATCTCTAATAGTTGTCGCGCCAAAGGCAAAGAACGGACGGACGTGTGTAGACATGAGGGGAGCACACCAGGCAATCGAAAGACAATGTCATACTCACTGTACGATGCCAAATTTACAAGATTTCAAGGCTAAGGATAAACGGAGCAAAATTCTTCTCAAAGATTGATTTAAAGCAAACATATCACCAACTGACTACACCCAGTAAACCGATTCATTACAACATTTTCCAGTATAAACGATTACATTACGGTATAGGAACAGTGCAGTTAAAACCTGGTTGATGGTATTATTTTTCATGGGAAAACACGAAAGTTACAGCACTATAGTTAATTAAAGGAGAAAAATGCGAATTTCTACAAGACGAATTAAATTATATTCTTCGGATTAATAAAATTTACGGCACTAGAAGGAACCAAACCATATCCACAGAGAATCGTGAACATGGTTAAAGTACCAGCTCCTAAAATGGCTGGAGAAATCAGGAGTTTTCTTGGAATGGACACTTGAACGAAACGGAACATCACAGCCAGCAGTACAAATTTAAATATTTTCATATGCAAGCCACGGTTAGCAAGCAGAGCGCTAAGCCCAGTTGAAAAAAGATACTCGTTGAAAGGCTTAGTATGAGGAATTTAACGTTTTCGAATGTTCTTGATTGGACCAGAACTTGATGTGATAAAGCACTATATAGGAACCATATTTAATAACCCAAGATCCAGACGGAAACTACCTAGTGATTTTTGCCTTTCACTGTTGAGAAAAGATCTTATCCCTGGAGATGTAGCGAAAGACTTGGGATTAACATTTGATCGTAATCTAAATTTCAACGATTACATTGTGAGAGTGACAGCTTCGTGCATGTCAATTTTAGGACAAATTAACAGAATGAAACAGGTCTTTAATAAGGAATTACACATTATTATTATTGTTTAGCAAGCTTTTTTATTGCTCCTCCGTCTGGCCGTCAACCTCCGGGAAAAATATCAAGAAACTTCAATATATCCAGAACGTTGCCGCACGTATCATCAGCGGTCATAGAAAATATGATCACGTGACTGGTACCGGAATACATTTGTGACTTATTTCAACTGAAGTCGTCAGTGACTAATCGAGTCACCAGAAGTTCTGCGGACAATGATTTGTGGGTACCAAGGAATAAATTGGCAATCAGACGAAAGGCACTACCATACAGTGGTGCAACACTTTACAATAGTTTACCACTTGAGATAAGAAACTCTTCTTCGGTAGCATCATTCAAAATAAGAACATATCAATACTTTTTAGAAACAGTTTAAACGTAGTCATATGTAATCTATTGTATATATATATACCATATCTCTTCTTTTTCCCCCACGTTACCTAATATTATTTGTTTGTTTGTTTGTTAATAGTCGTAGTTATAGAAGGCCCAGTGTAAGATTAGCTTTGCTAAACTGTTTTTTGTATACCTTCTTTAAATAAAGTCTATTATTATTATTATTATTCTTATTATTATTATTATTATTTTTGGATTCCAGTGAAAGAGCATCTATATTATCGAGACGCAGTATTGGCCTTTAAGTGTATGAATGGAATGGTACGGAATATTTGAGTTCGCAATTTACTGCCAGAGGCTCAGTAAGCGGAAGAATAACCAGGCAATCTGGTCAACTTATTAACACTCCCCTAGTGCAACAGGACAGGACTGACAAAAAGTTCCAATATCGTATAACTAAACTCTGGAATGAGTTGCCATCTAATCTTAAATTAAATTAAGTAGAACGATTAGTAGTTTAAAACCGAACTGAAAAAGATCTTACTAAGTGTAAATATGTGACAGTATAGTACATAATATACTATTTATAGGTTTCTATTTAGGTCTCGATTTAGATTATTATCATTGTAATGTAGCTAAATTTGTATTTATAATATTGATTCTGAAAAGCCCCTTGTTTGGGGACGATCAATAAATCTCATCATCATCAGCTAGTACATCAGCAAAAGACTATGTAAATTATGTAACTAACTGTTCAGTTCCAAAGTCACTGACACTTGACGAGACTAAGGAAGCTAAGCAACCCGTAATGATCCAGTGTTACATAAAGTGAACTAGAAATGTCTGAAAGAGGGAGGAAATGTCTGAAAGAGGAAAAATGGGATGAGAACGATCATGATCTCAATCAATCTCGTTCCCCGAGCCTGCGATCCTTGGGAAGGAAACGAAGGCTCTGGGATAATCCATCTCAGACCAGTGAACTATATACATGGAAGGCTGACTTCAGTCATTGACGTAATCAAAAAGTGAAGCCAAGATGGCGGAATTTGAAGCCATTCTTGCGCGTCACCCTCAGTCCCCTTACCCGCGCGGCCAAACAATTTTTGTATTTTCATGGCGGGAAGTGATGGGTCCGCGACTCTCGGGTTGTGTTTTTCTTCATTTTAGAAGAGCAAAAAAGGAAATAAACTTTATTTATTTCATGTAAACCTGATTTCCTTCATCTACTCAATCTGTCTACTGCATTTTCCCACTGTATGTGTGAGTAAATCTGTATTTTTCGTTGCGAATTCAACAACTAATTTCAAACTTTTTTGTTTTTTTGATATAAAATCTGTATTTTTATAAATTGGCAATTTATTTTTGCTTTGGTTGTTTCGTTTTCTTGTTTCTATGGTGCTTTTCAGTTTTCACACCATTATTTAGCTTATTTTAGTCGGTTTTCCTGACCTAAAACTGCTTTTTAACTGCAGTTTTCGAGGCAGTTTTTAGCCAATTTAATTCCATACATGTAAGAAAATTTTGTTTTTTTATTTTCTATTTAATAAAATCACTTTGATGTTTGCCTTATAAACTTAAACTGTTCATTTTAATGAGTTATTCATGTGTGTGAAACTCTTGTCGATAGGGGCAATAGAGATATTTTGAAAGATTGAGTGACTTTGTGTTTTGTTTTGTCACTCCTTGTCATTTTACAAAAACAGCAATCCCGCGCTATTTTGCTTTCTTTCCACTCAAATATCACATCTCCTAAACAAATAATAATTAAAATTTATAACCAAACCCAAACAAAATACCAGAATTCAACTTTTCATTTAAATTTCGTCTGTTTTTCACCAGATTTTTACTCGGAAAGTAAAGAAAAATATAAAAGTTTTGTTGACCGCGCACGTAAGGGGACTGAGAATGACGCGCAAGAATGCCTTCAAATTCCGCCATGTTGGCTTCACTTTTTGAGCTCGAGTCAGACTTCCATGTTATATAGTTCAGTGGTCAGACTTCCATGTTATATAGTTCAGTGTCAGAGGGTTCAGTG